ATGAAGAACTTTTTAACAATGTCAGCCGTGCCAAAAAAACTGTCGAACCGTACTCGTGACAGCGTTCCAACGCGGGACTCGGCTACCTTCGGCGTACACTTGCTGCTTTGTTGGTTATGGTCCATTTAGTCCCCAATGCCTGTGAAGCATTGTCTACCAAACAACAGAAGAACAGAAACCGAACTGCGTCGCACATAACCGACTGCGCGTAACATTCGTGTTGATTTCAGTTCTGCCATTACGGTGACAGCTATGACCACCAGCGGCCTGTAAGAGGTAACGCAGATCAGGTAGTCGCTCGCAATGGTGCAGACACTGTCAAAGAAGCAGAAATCGCATGTACAGTCGGATTTTCCGTAGTTGACAATTAGTCGAGGTGATGAGGACGGTGATTACTGACGATTGAGTTAAAGAAACCTGCAACAGATGGTTGTCAAAAGACAACATGAAGCAATCCGTTAAACCGGTGGACAAATTGACTTTCAAACAACGACAGCGGATAAACGATGACTTCGAATCGGAGCTGATTGCTATAAGGTGGCAACGATAGCGGCTTTCAGCCACCTCGTCCGGTCGTCTAACAAACGTACCAGAGGCGACCCCTTCGTCGATCGTCACTCGATCGATCGGTAGCAAAGGAACTGGACTCTGAACCGGCCGGCGACCGATGATGGTCGACGTCATAAGAACCATCCGTGGCCGGACGGCCGGACCGAATGCCGACACTGCGAGAGCAGCCGCTGCAGGACATGATTTGTCACGAAATGCATATTGACAAACATGCCACTGACAGAATCAATCAGTTGCATAGTATTTAGCCGGCAGCTGTTTATACGAAACTATCAGTTTCAGTGATAGGATTCGCAGTTTTTTGCCTACCGCCGTAAACAATGCAGCACCACCGTCGAACTGACTGTCCTGAGTCACTACTGCAGCTTACCGCACGGTCGGTTTGGTGTGCTCGACGACCGAACCGTTAATAATCAGTTAGCGTAATGGCTCGTTTCGCTTTATTGGCTATCGTAAATTGTCGCGTCGTTCGACCACAGGCGTCTCGACCCGTTTGCTGCCATCAATAGCCGCTGAAGTACTTTTTATCCGATTG